TAAGTGAACTCTTGAATCTTTCCAACAGACAAACCCCATCTGCCTTTTTTTTTTCTTTTCTTATTAACAAAATCTGAGCAGCTAGAGGGTCGAGGCTTTTTTAATCTAAAAACAACTTACGTAAGTCAATAAGCAGCACACAAACAACAGGTCAGGCTGTATTCAAAAGACTATCGTGCACCCACACAGAGACAGAAAAACTGACAGAGCCAATTGAGTTACAGTTAACATTTCCTTTATTTCAGTAAAAGAATTCCTGAACTGAATGAAGAGTGATATTTTGGCCCATACTGCTAGACTAGATAAATTCTTTAAGTATGCGGTGCCACAAGTGTACACAGTACTATAATAGCAAAAAAAAAAGACGGCCTGGGACAAGTTTCATTTTATTATTAGCAGGAGTTAGACGTTTCAGATAAGGATATTACGCATTTCTGAATTTGCCTGGAAAGTTAATTAAAACTATAAGAACATTTTAAAACAGTATAAAATTGCCTACAGATACTCATGATACTTTGGTAGGGAATGTGGAATAAAAACCTACATCATGTAAACATTCAGTTAACAGATTCTCTGCACTCTGAAGCCTAAGTAATACACAGAAGGAGAATAATTACATAAGAAACTTCAGTTTTCTACACAGCATGTGCTGCCAAAGAACAAAAGTCAAGCTTAGAACTTTTTTTCATGTGAAAGTAGAGCCATTGTAACAAAACTGTATGGACTGGTGGCCAATGCAGGTCATGTCAAATGTTAAAGTCTTTAGCAGAGGTTTAGCAAGAAACAAGTCCAACTACTTGCAGCGTTCCACAAAAATTGTCCCCCTGACTGCTTACTGATGCTTTCAAACAAGGGAAAAAAATAATCTACAGGCATATAGAAACACAGGAAACAACTGTGTGCTAAGTCACAGGATGTAAGGTGGCACTATATATTAAATTATCCTTGAGCACTGTTCTGAAGAGAAAATTACATTTGAAGGAAGCTAGAACAAAATGCTAGAAGCACACTGGTTTCGTTTAACCACCTGCAAGGTTAACTGCAACTGTTTTTTCTTTAGGGCAGTAGTTTGCTTAAAATAACATGAATTCCCTCTTCCTTCCTGTTCTCAGGATCTCAAAGACAGTTATTTTTACCTTCAGTAAGACTGCCCAGAACATTTTAGTGGTATACTGTAGGACAACTAGACTCCAGGGTTGACAAATGGAGGTGAGGTACTTTTTGAGTTGCAAGCTGTGCGTGTCTCATGACTGCCTTATCAAATACCTTACCTTTTAAGAACTGTACGTGTTTTTTCCATTGTGTATACATGCTAATACCCATTGAAAATGCAGATAAAGCAAATCTGTCTCAAATCAGTAATGAGAAAAAAATACATTGTTTGATACGCAGAAAAACAGCATTAAAGCTTGCATTACTATAATTTGCATTGTCAGGCCTCGGAAACACAAGAATCTGCAGCTATAACCGGCAACTGAGCTTGTTTTGACACTGGATGTTACAAAAGGAAGAAAGAATTCCCTAAGGTGTGAGGAACTCAGGATAAAAGCAACCCCTTCAAAATCTTTCACAGGCTTCTTTAAGCTGCCATCTGCTGGTCAGCTCATATTTGAGGAAGGTGTGATGAATGACAGGCTGGCTAACTTGGAGAGTATTATATGTGCTTTATTTTGACCTCTCTTAGAAAAAAATTACAGTTTTTTTGACAAAGTTCATAAGTATCTAGACTCTACATGATACTATGACACTTATCTGCTGTCAACGTCATCCAATTTAATGAAGCCAGACAACAATCACAAAAATTGATTGAAAAGCTAAAGCAGATATGTTTCATGCAAACACACCAAGTGTGCCAATAATCCAGAAGTAACAGTAATGTAAAGTCTTCTTTATTTATTAAAAAAATACTGGTTACACTCTACTGGCACCTACTACATTATTGGGAGGTGGAGGGCCAAGGTAAAAAAAGAAATTAAAATACACCACCTGTATCTTTTCTCTCAAATATCATGTGCTTCTGGATGGTTACACCAAGTCTTACACAGGCAGTAAAAAACTACTACGAGCTTTTGCAGACTCTGAAGTGTTGAGTATCTTTCTCACATCTGGCCCTTCCAGTTGCTCATTAAGAATTATAAACAAAATCATATTTCACATAAGTACTGGAGGAAGTTACCACTGGTGTCAAGTGCCTAGAAGTAAAATTACTTTGTTTCAAAATTAAATGCACGTATGAAATTCATTTATTCCTGTACCTTACTAACTACTTCTGTCCATCCATCTTAAAACAACTTCAAAGCCCAATTTTTTGAAGGGAGTGAACGCCTACCTTTAATCTCTGATATGTCAGGTCTATAAATCTCTGCTTGCGTAAGTCCACACCCCCACTCCTGTCTCTCTCCCAAAGTAATTTATCAATTGAAAATTTGGCCTTCCTGATTTTATAGTATTTCAAATAAACGCCATTTAAAAAATACCCAAATAACAACAAAAAGTATCCAAAATATTTTTGAAAATGTCAAATAAGGTGCATCTTTCAAACAAGAAAGAACCGAGCACACCTTTCCTAGAACCTGGTTGCAAAGGACTGACATATAAGGGGTGTGCAGATAAAACAACAGATCTTGACAAATAACAGTCATATCCAGGTTCCATTCTGGAACAAGCTGTCCACAAATAGCGTGGGAGGAAAAGAAAGGAAAGAAAAAAAAAAAAAGACCAGAATCCTCTTAGTATACACCTTGTGGAGGTGCATGTGGAATATGCAGAATTTTTCCTGTATTTGTTAAGAGAGCACCTAAACCAACAGTTAAAGTATTACAGTGAACACAGAAATATAAAAGTTAATCATTAAATCTATTTAATGTTGAGAAGTATTACATCCTATTCAATAAGCTGTGCAAGGCTTTCATCATTACCTGATTGTGTTTATTTTTTAAACCCTTTCCCTCAACACTGGAGAAGGTTTTTCTCTAGATAAATCCTCTCAGGCCACACATATTTAGCCATTTAGACAAGTGCTAAATAATACAAAAGGGAAAAAAGTTTTTAGAGCTACCCACATAATCCAAAATTTCTGTCTTTCCTTGTTTTGTAGAACAGACCAATATAAAGTTCAGAAACACATGCCTGACATTTTTGCTTTATTTAAAGGCAAAATATATCTAATACAGGAAACAAACTAGGCCCAGTCCTTGGTTGGTCCAAGTTCAGGTCAGTGTAGCTTTAAACCAAACCAAGGATCTAGCCCACTAATCTACTTCCCCCTGCACCCAGTCCCCCAAAAAAATCTCTGTTTTTTGACAAGGTGTACTTTCTGTTATGCTGTTTGGGACTTTTTTTGTACTTTAAGCCTTTCAGACTCTTGAAAACAATTCACTCACTTTCTAGTTTGTGTATCTGTGTTCTGTGAGCAGCGTATGATGTAAATTTTTCTCACATCTTTTACTGCTTAGCAGTAGCTGAGTAAATTAAAGTTAAGTCTTAAAATTTCTATCTCAGCCTATATAACCATATGCTTTCTCACATATGAACCATTACGTTACAACATCAAATCCTACAAAAATGAGCCTTTTGTTAAGAAAGACTTCTGGTAGTTCATTTTATAATCACAATATCTAGAAACATAATAATCTTTCTCCTGAGTACACAATATTTAGAGATGCATATTTAGAGCCAAAAAAAAAGATAGTAAAAAAACCCCTTAAACTGGTCTGGCTGAATAGATGGTCCCAAACAGAAACAGCTTTGACATATTTTTACTAATGATCCCATCAGTAAAGCCAAACCAGAAGAAACTGGTAAGCCAAAAGATGGGAGTCTCTTAATTGAGAGAACAAAGTATTACTTTACTTGGCTGTTGCTACGGACATTATTTCCTGTGGGACTTCCTTTGCTTGTTTTATAGGGGTACAGGAGGAAGAATTTATTTTTTCTTTTTTTAGTTAAAATGTTTTTCCAGTTACAGTTAAGATATACAGCCATTAACATGCAATCTTTTTTCCCCATAAACTGTTTACTGAACATTATGTCTAGGTATTTTAACTGCATTCATCACAGTGTCTAAGCACCTCATGCATTTGTTAGGGGATATGAGAGTCTGTAGGAGAGCTGGAAGCCCTACTCCCTTGTTAGCAGGCAAGTACTTTCTCTACAGCTTTTGTAACACAAACTGGGTGAAGCTGTTTGTCTATGGATATTTGACTAAATCCTACCAACTACGTCTCTGAACCCACCTGCAAAACAGCATGCACGCTTCACCCTCATGCTGCCACTCTTTGGCTGACTGGGTTTAATAGTGTAGATGACTTGGGGAATGGTTCAATGGATTGTATGAATACACTTCTGGTACATACATTTCATTTGTTGTATGTCAATTGGGAAGAATTACAGTTCCAAATATGCAGAGCCAAGACTAGGATTTGCAAGTATCAAAAAGATACATCCTCCACTGCCTGTTTAACTCTACTGGGGATGGAGCTATTTGCATCACAGAGAAATAGCACTTAAACAGCCTGAAAACTAATTTGAGCTCAAAGGGGCTCTGCTCAGGAGACTGTCCAGTTCTAGATCAAACAGAGGATTAGGAAATTTGCTTCAATATAAAAGCTATGGCAACATGACAATATTGAGTTACATAATGTAACTAATGTAGTACACTTACATAAAAGTCTGTAGAAGAAAATACAGAACACACTGGCATTGTACTTTGCCTCTAATAGAAGGTTACAATTCTAAAACGTTGTTGGTAAATACAATAAAAACCACAATAATACCTCGATGTCCCCAAATCAGACGTTTGTGTTACAATAAATGAATTTGCAATGCACACATTAACAGGTTTCACTGAGGCCAAAACTGTAAGTTGTCTAGAGCACCAACGTTAGAGAATTCGCCTTTGATTTTTGTGTTTTGTTTTTGTTTTTGTTTTTTTAAACAAGATTCACACCTGATAATTTCCGTAATTAAATGGCTGTGTGCAAACACCACTTTTTTTTTACCTCATTCTCAGTTAAGGAAGCTGAAGGAGATGAACTCTTGCTAAAAGCAAGAGTTGAAGATTCTGCTGCTGAAGCCCGATTTCGCTTCTTCAGAGGTTTACATGCATCAGACAGATTTTTCGTTGCTGTAAAATAATTTTGGTTTACAAAGTGAAGTTTGGAACTTTAAAATGTTATCTCCCTGAAGCCACTTAAAAATATTCCTTCAGAGAAAGGAAGGAATTATTTAGGTAGGTCTTCTGGGCACGTAAGTAGGGCTGAGCAAACATGAAGTTTCTGAAACCATGTGTTTCGGCTTGATTTTAAAAATAAAGAGGCTTCCATTGATCAAATATCTGATACAAATGGCTAAGAAATGTTTGTTTTCTCAATTTTTTTTTCTGGCTCATTTCTATTCAAATCAAAATATCTTGTGATTTATGACCTCTTTAAAGCAGAGGTAACAGTTATATTAGAAGGCCTACGTGATCTCATCACAATCTGAGTACCACTAATACTTTATTAAGGGAAAGGTTATATACAGGAGCCAAGAACCAGACATTAACTATGGCACGTCACCACTTCTACATCATGCAGAACTTGCTGAAGCTCAGTTGTCTTTGGCATATCGTTGTGATACCTAAAGAGACATGCTCTGACAGAAGTTACCTTGAACTTGAGCATCATAAACAAGTCTGACTTTTGAGTTTTGGTCCAAGAATTAGAATCCCCTCTCATGCTCCACACTGCCTCCCATCAAGCATCATTTAAAAGGACTAAAATCCCACAGTAACTGATGACATTGATGGTCACTGCACTTGTTTCACTGGGGCAATGGACAATGACAAACTGGAGCAGTAGGATTTGTATCCCTGCTGCCAAGAGCACGAGGCACCAGCTTTAATTTGGTGCCATCAAATGGTGAACTTGTGAACTGCTGCTCTCAATCAGCAACGCACAATTTCAGTCAAGGACAACGTTGCAAAATGGTAGTGAAGGAAGAGGACATGCTCCCCCCCAGATGTGGCACAATGCCTGCAACTGGTGACTGCATCAGCAAAATTTAGCGGCTGCCTCAGACAACCTGGTTATTTTAAAATTACTGAATTGAAAAAGTTACATTAAAATTTATTCTGACCACATTACCTGACTGGTTCTTTTGTGAAGAGGAGGTTTCTGTGACCTTAGAAGAGTTTGTTTTTGCTGTTTTGTCATTGCTTGTCTCCCTCTGTCACAAAAAAAAATATGAAAAAATAAAAAAACTCCTAATTTATGAGTGGTTGGATAAAACTGGCAATTAGTTCTGGATTTATATTATTAAAAAGTGTCTTCACAAATATATGAATGGTAATGTAGTTAAGCTAGCCCCATTTAAGTGAATTTTAAAACTCATTTACAGCACAGGGTACAAACCCATAAACAACTGAGAAAAATTAAAGAACATAGTATTCCAGTATCCCACTTATCCATCCCAAATTCAGCATATCAAAGAGGGGAGCTCTAAATGAACATAAACCTTGTACAGTTATCCTTACTATTCTTTATCTAAACTAGTCAAAGTAAAACCTTCAATTATTAAAGGTAAACTGCAGAATTAGTATAGAAATTTGAGAATAAACCCTGTGCAGGAAACTTTATGTCTCAGAGAGGCTTGCTTTCAACTCCACAACTTATAGCAGTGCCATTTTTTAAATTACTATGGTTAAGATTGTTTCAGCATTTCCAAAATAATACACTATTTTCAAGGGAGAATGAACACCACCTAAATTTCCTCCACATTGAGAATTCATCATTAAAAGTTTAGGCTGAGAACTGGGAAAGTTTTTGTCAAATCTTTGTCAAAATTAAGACACTGTTCCTTACACATGCCACTATTTTTTTTTTATTTTTTGTATGTTACAAATTCATTCAAGTTACTAAAACTGCAGCCAAGAGTGCTTAATCCTTACAGATGCTCACCTGATGAAGAAGAACAATTCTAATGAACACAAGGTTTTACACACTTTTTCAGTCTTCATCTGACAATGAGTTTTACAAAAGATGTGCAGGTGAACACCTCTAAGGCCAGAGAACTGGTTTCCTTTGTAAAAATAAACATGAATGGCTACTGAACTACAGATGTGCTGCACTGTGCTTTTACTGACTTCTGACAGGCTAAGCTGCCCTACCACTAATGCCACCGGAGGCTCCCAATATCAGTTTTCTAAGATTACTGTTACACTTCTGTGCAAAAAGGAAAGAAAAAAGGGTGTCAAGAGGATGGTGCCAGACTCTTTTCAGTGGTGCCCAGGGACAGGATGAGAAGCAGTGGCCAATAAACTAATATACAAGAAGTTTCACCTCAACATGAGGAAGATTTTCTTTACTTTGAGGGTGGCAGAGCACTGGGACAGGTTGCCCAGGGAGGTCGTGGAGTCTCCCTCTCTGGACATATTCCAAAGCCACCTGGAACTGTTCCTGTGTCACCTGCTCTAGGTGACCCTGCCTTGGCAAGGGGTTGGACTGGATAATCTCCAGAGGTCCTTTCCAACCCTAACTCTGTGAAAAGTCATTTACATTTAAAGTACGCTTTATAGAACCCCCATTCTGTTAATGTGCATTTTATATACATCATCAAAGCAACAATGAACAAATTAGTTTTTCAAAACTGCCCTATGGGTACTTATGACTTGGTCACTATGTGTGAAAACATTCAGATTTTGCAAATAAGGATTAAGGACAAAAGCAGAATATAAGACAAAACAAGTAAAACATCATGAAATAAAGGCTTCAAAGCTCCTCCTATCCAAAATTATTGCAACTAAAGCCTGCAGGTAAACTGGGAATAGCAGAAGGAAGGTGTATGGTTAGTGTTTTTGAATCATTACATAGACACTTTCACTGTCATTCACGAAATGTTTTACTAAGCAGCAGCACATACAGCTGGAAGTACCTTGGGCTCGTGAAGGTAGGAGAAAGGCTAAGAGATAATTCCTAAAAGAAACTGCAAAGCAACCATTCTACCATATCTACCTTTCTGTGGATCAAAAACCCTGCTATATCCAGTTAGAGTTTCCAAATTGCCTAATATTTACACGTAACAGATTCCTTGTACCAGAACTTCCTAGTTCTGATAAACAGATTGGGTAGAGGACAACACTTTTTAAGTGCACGTTACTGGGTCAGTGTTACTAGTGGGAAGTATCTCATGGGAATCGTTCATCTCATTTACTTATTTTCCTATTGATATTCACATCTGTGTCCCAGCATCAGACACCAGAACCTCCCATGCACGTGATCTATACTGCAGCCACATTTCATTCTACTTGTGATAATGCAGACTAATGGTAGTGTATGAATGCTGGTGGGATAGTAAAGTACCTTTAGCACACTTAAAACAAGGACTTCATAGCAGGAATTAATTACAATAAGTAGACTTCATTATTCCATGGGCCTACTGCACTATAGTACATTCACATCAATCAGATGAGTTTAAAAAGGTCTGAAAAACTGCTCCTACTCATCATAAGATGACTATTTCAACAACTAATGTGCTAGAGCAAGAAGTACAAAAACCAGTTTTGGCCCTTCTTTCTGCAAAGGTAACAACATTACAATTATCTCTGTCCCTTGCTAATCAGCTCATTAAGCTTGGCTATCTGAAATTCTATTTGGTTTTTTTATAACAAACTTTAAACAAGTTGTCTTAACATCCACAGTATCAACAGAATTACTAAAGTAACCCGCCTACCAAACAAATTGACATCTACAAATTTTTTATTTAAAAATAAACCTATTACCTTTCCTTATATTAAGTTGTTTCATTTAACTGCTTGCTGTACCATCAAAGTTCTGAGACAAGGTCTGTGGAACTCACACTACATAATAATACTGCAATAACATATGTGAAAACATGTGTGAGATAAGCTTTCCACACAAGTAAACCCCATGAAGTTCACTGCTCTACATGCATGACTAAATAAACCTGTGCTTAGGTCTCCAGAAGATAAGTATTGTGTCCTTATACACAGTTTTAGTGATCTGTGTAAGGAAAAGTCTCATCCTCACAAGCAAGCTAACCTGAAAAGGAGCCTGTGATTTGTGTGATATACAATAATTTTACTGCATAAATATAAATTTTCTGCAGTTTCCTAACTTAAGAAATGGGTCAGCATGCCACCCTAAAATGTTCTGTAGCCTTCCAGTTCATGAAGTTTTTCTGTTTTGTTTTATTTGCTTTCCCCTCTCCTGACTTTTGTCTAAAACAAGTATTGACTAAAGGTATTTTGTTTTTTACATTCCTGTAAAACTGAACTCCAAATCAGGAGGAAAGAAAAAGAACTACAAAGCATGACAACATGGAGAGGTCATGCCTCCCCTCTGCACATTCCTTCAAGAAACAGATTTTCTGAGTGACATGTTTGCCACAGTTTAAGTCATACCTCCATCCTCAGAACCAAAGAAAAAAATCCTACAGTGATAAGCTCACATGTATCTGAATATTTACAACAGTTTGGTATGACATAGTACTTTTTTTATCCTGGAAATGGAAATGCTGACAAACTTAACTACAGCAATGTGACTGGTGCTGCTATAAATCAACCCAAACAAACCAACAACATAATTACCTTCCGATTATTCTGTTTATCCATCCTGAGTCTTTTCCTAGGTGCTTCCTGAACTTCAAAATCTTCTGTAGGTTCCTTTGTCCTCTTTTTTTGGTTTCTTTTATTTCCATGTAAATTACCTTGGGATGGGGGATGGGGGAAACTTACATGAAAAATAATCTAAAACCCACTTTGAAATTATTTTGAACTGATCTAGTTATTTAAGGTACTTTTCTCTCAGTCATTATCTTTAAAACATGGTTAAACATTAACACAGTTTGATGACCTCTTAACACTTAGGATCTAGCTTCTGGTGCTGAAGACTAACTCTAGAACACATCCAAATCAACTCCTTCATACTCAAGTTATTTTAGAAAGATGAGTCTACCTGTATAAGCACTAGTTGAACACCTGAATGTTACTGCCCAACATTTATTTAACATCACGAGGCTGCACGTGATTGATCTACACAGCTTTTAACTCTCCTGTCACTGTTATCACTAAAATTAGTTTGTAAGTCTCCTCCTTAAGTCTACTTTAAGTTCTTCAGCTGTTACAGATGAAGATACTGGCAACATCTGTTAAGAGGCCTCTGAAAAAGACAAGTTATCACCATCCATACAGATTGATTCTCTTTCTGGTGTGGCAATTCCAGACTCTCTCTAACAAGCTTACTTGTATTTTACAAGAGACTGTAAGATCCCTTTATGAACCAGAATCCTATGAACAGAACCACATTGGTCATTTTAAACCACAAACTCATTCACATATTTAGATGATTGTTCACTGTACAGTTTAAGAAGCTGCTAAATTACAACCGGTCAGTGAGTAATCTACATACCCCTGCCACAGGCTCAGCTATTGTTTGCACCTTAAACACACAGGTAAGGGTTTAGGAAGTGGTCTGTTTCATCAGGATGAAATGACAACATCGTTACACTCTCCAGTACTCTCTAGTTTATGAAGCTACAGAATATTATTAGTATGAAGATGGCAAGCTTCAGGGGCACAAATACGTTAACTTAGAATTGCCCTATAGCTACAAGCATTCTATTCCAGTGGGAACAAATATCTGTAAATATTAAAAATATAGCAACTTGAAAATATGGATAATTTTCAAATTAATGTTCTTATCTAAACAATCTAGAATATATTCTACGATCAGACTCTGAATCCACAAAGCAGACTGAAATGGCTCCAGGAGAACCTGCTACTTACAAAAAGCCAGCAAAAGAAATCCCACAATATTTTTCCAAGTTTAAGATAAGAGGATTTGAGTAGGGGAACAATTGAACTGACATATTATCATCTGTAGATAGCTATAAATGTACACAATATATGTACTAGAAACACCTGGTACAGGTACAATTTCAATTACATTTCTTGCAATATGACACTGAGGAAGGTGAACAAAATTCAGCACTACAGTGTTAAGATATTTAATTTGGGATCCATTAAAGTTCTAATGTCAAGTAAGACAACATCTGAGATAAAATAAAGAGATTATGATACGTGGGCGATTACATAAAAAAATACACTCAATAGCTACTTATAATGATGAGCTATTTGCACACAACACAAATTTCAATTACTTCTGGATCTTGATCTCCTTTTAGGTGAGTCTTGAAACACTTTACGTTTGGCCTCTCCAATATTCTTCAATGATGAACCTTGAGAGATACAGAATGTGTTTTTTTTTTAAACTGATATCCAAATATTTAACACTTAAAATTTTAAGTTAAAAACTTTTCAATTTTCCACAAAATGATGTTATTTCACACACACACACAGTTAACAAAACTGACTGCCATTTTTATACAAGTTTTTCCAAGTCTCACAAACTTTCAAACACTCCCTCTCATTCTTGTCATTGCCCAAAGCAGCACCTGTTGGCTTCTAATACTTCCATAGTAAGTCTTCTTAGAGTGCTGTAATGCTATTTAAATTTGAAAAATTATAGCTAGTTAAATTTGATAAAGTTCATGCAAATGCCAAACTATCTTCCTCCCTTCTCAAATGACTCCAAACCCCCTCAAATATTTTGCAAAATAATCGAGACTGTTTATCAAAACCAAACACCAGAAAACAGCAACAAAAAAATAAAAACAGGAAAAAAATAAAGTAATTGCAATCTTGTACAAAGTCCTAAAAACTTTGAGTAGCACAATAAAATGCCAAATGGATGAAGGTTTCAGAATAAAGTTCAGAATACTTCTTCCTGAGTTGATGATGATGTGAAGTAATACACTTTAGGTATGTATCAGGAAAAGGTGTAGCACTGATTAAATTTTTTAAACCACTTCTAGCTGTTCTATAGAAACAACACCTCAAATTTTACTAGTAGTAACACTTCATCTTCCCACCATCCACTTGTAACAGGCAGTGGATGCAATGGCAGCTGCTTATGGGCAGAAGAAGAATGAGAAACCAGCAATGTCTAAACAGCAGAAGGTTTACATATAACAACTTTTCAGAACAATGAGCAAGAAATGTAGACTTCGTGGGTTGCGTTTATTGTAACCATTGGCATTCCTTTGCTATTGGCACAAACACCAAGAATTAAAACTGGAAAACAGGGAAAGCTGTTTTCCCTACAGGGTCTCAAATATGTGCTTAGTTTAACGCCACTATGTATATCAAATTTAGTTAGAGTACACTAGCACAGTTTTACGTTTACCAGAGTCTTCTTCAGATTTGGGGGAGGTCACTATGGCAAACTTTGTGTTATAGCGAGCTTTCTGTTTTTCACTAAGCATGTTCCACTGCGATTCGAGCAATTCTTCAATCTCCTCACTTGAAGCATCTGGATGTTCAGCAACCACCTATACATGCAGAAATAGGGTTGAATTAAAAAAAGTGGACCATTGAAAAGAATGGTGAACACATTTCCATCACTCTGGAAAACTGGATACAACCAAGTTATCTAACATTTCTAGACAGAACTAGAATAAAACCTTCTGTATTCAGCTTTTCTTTTAATAAGCATTTCTTTCTCTGTGTCTCTAAAAAAATAATCCATGAGAGTATTCAGAAGTATTAAGACTAATTTTGGAAGTATCTATTTGCATTTTAACATTCAAAAAACCAGAGTAAGTGTAAATCTTGTCGTCATTCAAAAAGATGTGTATGATTTCTCAACGAAGTTTAAATCCATACCACAAACGACAGACAAGCAATACTGGAGTATAGAAATCCATCCATTGTCATAGAAGAACTCATTAAACACAAAACTCAGTACACCTATCTCAGTAGAGAAATTTACACAAGCTACCATCTGATGCAACATCTTCCCATATTAATTCATCATTTTATATTATGTATATGAACATTAGGAACTCAAAAGCTGTGCATCTTTTCTTAATACTGTGAGCAGGACACATAATATCCATCAACATGGAATTTAAGAGAGTTTCTAGAGGTTTATTCAACACAAACAGAAAATCCAGTATTAAAACCCAGAAAAAAAAATCCTCCCAAACTGCTTCAGTATTCCCCTACTTCTACTGAAGGAAAACCAGATTGATTAATCATAAAAGTCAGAAAGCTCTAAATTGTACAGAATTGAAACAGTACTTTTAAAAACAACCCTTCTCATCTTATTATCCAGTGCTCTTCAAAATCCTATTACTGGAGTGATGCAACCAACAGCCCGAAAACATAGAGCAAAATAAAAACTAGGACAAGAAAGCCAAGTGTTCAAACAGTAACACTGTTCAACAGAACAGAAATACAGTTTTTCTGATAAGTGGAAATTATTAAACCTAATTTCTTAGAACTTAATGCCTTTAAACTGCACTTCCTGTTATCAAACAGGATACAAATGTGAGTGATGCTTCTCCAGGGGTTAGAATAGTTGCAGTACCATCCTTCCACTGGGATTAGTCAGTGTCTAATATAGAAATCTATGCTGTAATTTTTCTCCTGGTAGAGTACTGAGAATTTTCTTGCTTCTATCTGGCATAACTCACCTGTATAAGGCTTGAAGAATACAACTATCTTTGAAGGCCTCTACTCAAAGTTTGATTAAAATCCACCAATGTCAAAAAAATTCTTGAAGGAGGGGGACATAGACAGACCCACAAGATACCCCCTCCCACAAAATCTTACTTCAGGAAATGAAATTAGCATCAATTTTGACCATTGCTGCCAAGTATACAGCTCATTGTGCTGAATTAGGGCACAGAGCTATTTAACTCTCTAAGAAATAACTAGATTTGTTCACACAAATGAGATAATTTTTAACATCATCTCCAGTCTCACCAAAATACCAATAAAAATAACTTTTAACTGACTAGGAGTGCTGTGAAATGACAAGGAAAAGACAGTCATGGTTCTTAACAGTGAAGGGATCCTTGCAAATATAGCCTCCAAGGAAAATGCCCAGCAGTCTTCTCAAAGTCTCCACACTGTAACGCTCAATCCCGGCACACATACCAGAAATGATGTACTGGGTACCTTGATGTACACAAAAATCATGCACTTCTCTCAGGTACTTATTCTAACTATGCTCCACAACACAAGGGATATCTTTTGCTAGTTCTGGGAATTAACATCACTAAAGGTGTGGATGTGGTAATCAGACCAGGCACATCTTAGCTCATCCAAGCAAACAGTATCACCTTCGCTCTTATTTGTCTTGATATCCAACACTGCCTTACACGTGCAGAAATCTTTAACTGTGAACCCTGCTGGCCAAATTATTTCTTAACTTTCCTCAAAACAGACTCAAGGCCCAGTGTAAACAGTACAGCTGTCTGCCTCACTGAATAATACCTTTATCTCCAGTCAGACACTCCTCTCTAATGATTACTATGGTTGTATTTCATAGACGAAGTGCACAAGAGAGCCAATAGTACAAATACATCTTCACTGCTCTGGTAACAGCACAAAACACTTAATGCGTCACTGCAACCACAAAAGTGCTCCAAGCTTTCAGCACCTCTCTCAGGGAAGTGTGCCTCTTAAATCATAAAAAACATTTTCCAGCAGTTAAATAAAAATAATAAAACCAGGCCAATATATGAACCCTACTACAGAACAAAGCCAGATTCCGAGCAAGACACAGCAGAAACGGCTCTACTTTCAAGAGAGCTCACGATTATTAGAGGCCCCAGAAGAGAATTCTTCAGTCATACCTTTCATTCACTTCCATCCCTTCCCAAGACTGGGGCCAGAGAGCCTCTTCTGGATACACAGCTTTCCTTTTTTCTAAGTTTGTACATGCAAATACTAAGACAGCCATACACTACACTCTCTGATGCCACTAATACAAGTGGCTCAAAACCAGGTCTGTTTTTTAGCTGTTTATCACTCTTTCTAAAGTATCAGAACATCTACAACACAATAAAACCAACGCTTGGGTGGAAGGCAAGATGTGCAAGCTGGACCAGATAAACCTAACAGAAGGGGAAACTCCAAATACTAGTTCAGATACAACATCCACCTTCCACCAAAGGCACAAAACTGCCATTTTAAAAGCGACATAACAGGCAAAATGCATGAGTATCTAAATTGGTATTTCCTCACTTTGCCAGTTAACTTTGAGTCAGTAGAAAGGAAACACAGGTCCTCCTGCCCTGATGATCAGTGAGGGGCGTCTGCAGCTTTTGTAATCTAGTTCTGTTCTACCCACAGAAGTGTTTCTGTATCTGTTACAACGGATAACACAATCAGGCAGATTTGGGATTTCATGACTGATCTCATTAAAAAGTATTCTAGGCAGTAATGGTAGGATGTCCTCTCTCTAAAGATATGTAATATTTTGAAACTTACTTCCTTCTGCTTTAAACTTTGTGCAATACTAGATCACTATCATCGGTGTGAATTTCAAGTTTACACAAGCCTTTCAATTTCCCAAAATGACCCTGAAGACAAAGCATTACCTCAATTTCAGATACTGTAATAGTCTTCACATTCTCCATCTAATAATTTGAGAATTACAGTATAACCACAGCAGAGAATGAAGCCTGATAACTGGCACAGAAAACAGAAGTACAACATCGGAGGCTCACCATGTTTGGTTAAGGCTCCATAAAACAGGTCCTCACAACCTCATTTCTTCCAGAGACGCAATTTCACGTCCCTCAATATTGCACAAGACTTCCCACTACACACGTTAAAGGCCAAGGAAATTCCCTCTTGCAACATCACTTACAGAAGAACTGGAAACAGAACTCGTGTCTCCAGCATGAGACAGATGATTTACTCATACAGCTTCTCATGATTAGTATGTCCAAATCTGTATTTAATAGTCTGGTTAAAACAACGTTTCCTCTGCAGAGCCAGAAAACTGAATTGCCAATGCTTTTCTCAATTTAACCAAAGTCACTAGAAGGTTTATGTAATGCTGTGCTCATTTTCATTCTCAATATTAGCTTAAGTTTCAATGATCTAAAAAGATCTCAAGTTGAACCACAACTAATTGACTTCCATACAATAGAATCTGCTTTTCAATATTTCTTTATGAAGTTGGTATCTATTAATGTTTTGTAACATAAATATCCTATGACAAAGTCAACAGTTCAGTAGCTATATAGTATGACAAAGTCACCACTAACTTTCTGATCCTGAAATATGTAACAGTACAAGAAAACACAAGGAATCACTCTAACTTCAATGCATGGATTAGTACTGCAAATGGAGCAGAAGGTCGCAAGGAAGAAAAATTACGGTCGTGATTTTAAAGTAATGAGCTAAAACAGCAGTACTGCTTTTATACTTTTAACAGTCTTCCTAAAAAAGGTTTGGAGTATAAGCATCTCAAGAGGACCTAGTTTCTGTCCCAGCAGGTTGCACACTTTACAGTGGTTTTCACAAGCTTTGGTAAAATGCTTCTTTTGAAGCTCAGCAAAAAGTTCCAGGTAGGTAAATGAGGTTTTGAGGTGTTCAGAGGTAAATGAACACACCAAAGGAATTAACCCATGTCTTCAGAAAGAATGTACAAGCTATCTACAAGTAGATTGCCATAAATAGCATAATCTTTGTTATATTTGCTTGAGTGTGTACGTATGCATATCTATTATATTTTACATACATTAAATAAAAAATATGGATAATACAAAGGACTATTAGATTATGTGGGAAGATACTAACACAACTTTGGCTTAAGGTACAACAGCATTATCACCATCTTGTTCATACTGCTCATCTACATTCCCCTCCTTCTCTATTTCTGTCTAGACTGAGATTTGAGGCAGGCATACCTTGTCAAGCCCAGAGTATTATGGATTCTGCAGTAATAACTATTTTTTGTTTACTAAGGCAAAAAAGTTACTTCAAGTACAGAAATGAGAAGAGGCAATCAACAACAGTAACAGCCAGAAGAGACTAACCTCATCTCTGTGCTTCTGACAAAAGACCAAAAACTGAGATACTGCATCGCCCTTTCTGCTTCGCGGAGTAGACGCCGGAGTTTTCTTTCTATTGAGAGGGGAGCCTATCCCTCTTTTGGATTCTGCCTGATCAGATGACTTTTGAGGAGTAGTATTCTTATCCTCCAACTGACTGCTTTCTTGTGTATCATCAATGGCAGACAGTTTTGATGTCCTTCTCCTCCTCTTGTTAGGAATGCCAGACTCCTTCATCGATCTCAGGTTTGGAGTGGTTTCTTCATTTGAGTAAGATGACTCATCTATCTCCTCTGGCGGTTCCTCAGTAATGCCAACTTCCTTTGCCACTCGAGGATTAAGATGAGGTCTGTCCCTAACATAGATGAAGGTGTACTTGGCCTTCCGTTCTTCCACTGTCATGCCAGCTGCTTCACTCGCTTGCTTCACACCCATCTCCCACTGTGGCCGCAGCTTCCCCGACACAGGCTTTAACATCTGCAAGAGAAACTGGCAGAGTGAGAAACTTGTCCACTTTTCGTTTCAAAATGCCAACATCAATATAAAACAATTCCAAGAGACTAAGGGTAATGTAGATCTACAATTCAGGAGGTTCAAATGGAATTGTATTTGACGGTACTGGTACCACGCGTGAATCAGTGACAAAGCAGAAGAGTACTGATTTTTACTGAATAATAAACAGTGGCAAATCATCCCATCCTTTGCATCTGTAAATGAAATGTAAGACTACAGGTCTCTGCAAAACAAGCTGTCTTTAAGCTTTCTAGAATATCTATTTATATCTGTACATACCTGTAACAGCAAAAGAAAAGGCTGCAAATCTTGTCTGACTTCGTAACCTCTTACCTTTATTTTCTCTGCTTTAGTGAGGGCTTGTCTTGCACTTTCCTGGCATAATTGTTCAAATTGGTCTTTTTCTTTGAAAGGCACAAGGCTCTTCTCAAATATCCAAGCTCGCTCTGGGACATCTCCAAAAAACTGAACGTGATATTGACGAAAACTCTTTTTCTGTCCTGAAAATTAAAACCAAATGAATTTAAAATACAACTTTGGTTGTTCTCTTCACTTTTGGACTGGAAGTCTGTTTGAAAGCTGCTACAGTTACCATGACAAAAGCACAGTACAACTGGATAACCTTTCAAAAACCCACTTAACCAGCCTGAAAGTCTCTGAGATATAATCTATGAAGTCTGACACAAAAGCCCAATAGTTTAATTTCCATCAACAATACGCTTGGCTAAATTAACTCAAGGTTACAATCACCTGTCACCGTTTTCCATGTATATTAACTTACATCTAGGTCTGGATGTTTCTGAAAATGCATTGAGCACTCATTTCTCAATGAACATTGAGAAAGTTCCAAAGCGTGGATAGCCTGTATACTCAGCCTCATCTCTGAGTCACCTAAACTTTCTTTTAATATTCTTAAACAGAAACACATACTTCAGCTAGTTTTAACCCTTGCAATCACAACTTCATGTCAGCCAATATTTTTCAGGAATCAAAGCAATAAATAAAATAGATTTGGGTGGCGGTAGGGAGAGTTCAAAGATAAGAGAATAATTCTGAAACCTAGGCAAGAAATTATTTATTCTTCTAAAAATAAAAATATTCCTTTTTTTCCTAAAAGAGAAAAAAAAAGAAATATTGTCTCACTGTGGAATAATATAGGCATGCAACCTTCCCCTTCTAAAGGTCTCAGTTGCTCTACAGAGAATGGGGAAGACAACACCTTCAAAATTCATCGAAGAGTTCACAGTTAACAAGGAATTTCTAAAATGCAGAAGTAAGAGATCAGATTTAAGATGTCCTCTAGCACCTCCTTCATTAGAACTGGCAGATTGGCTGTCTCAGTGTTCAAATTAGGGACTCATTTAAAAATGGAAAAAGTTTTAGCTGTGATGACCTACATTTTTGTGTTTGCAAATTCAATCCTGTTGTATCAGTTACCCTCCCTAGATTATCTATGGTTCCTCCAGCGTTGCCACATTAGTCAGTCTAACAGAGTCTGGGCAGCAGAGGAACTCGGGTAGGGATGGTTACACAGAAAGAGCAAATAGCAGTCACAGTTCTATTACAGGGGTCTTCAAACTAGGTCTAGATTCTACCAGGTTATTCATACACTGCATGTCTTCTGGTTTAATCAGAAAACACATCTAGTGGATAGCTTAATGCACTGTAACTGGGATGTTTCTAGACTTAGAAAGAACTTTCTTTCCATGATGACTAAAGCAAACAGTTATTTTAAAAGGGGCTTGATCTTAAGATGTGGCATCTGGAAAGGTAATATGAAATCAACCTAACTATATGAGCACAATGTAATGTTTTACAACAATTAGAAATATACATATATATAAAAACATATATGAGAACTACAAGAACAATAATGACTCACTTGAGATCAGATATAAGAATCTAAAGGAATGCCATAGGGAAAGTCTTGGGATTGTATACATCACACATCCAATCCACTAGTATAATACATGTTCCAGTAATGCACAGTCAGAAGTGCACAGTAATTCTCTTGCACAATAATTACTCTGTCCTCATTAAGAAAATGCTTTTTGAATAGGAACTACAGAGGTTCGATGACTTATTCTATGATGAAATAAGGGGTAATGTTTGCATTTTACCAGGATGCCCTGGCTGCAGACAGAGATGCCACAGAATAAATTTACAACCACCTGTAAAGATCTGCCTTGTAGTGCAGGACATCTGTAATTGCCTAATTAAGGAGACTAAATAACAGCGCCTACCACTGGAGTCACAGAACCTAGTTGTGAATCTTCAGATATCTTTTGTGAGTTGAATTTATATCAATGCTCTTGGATAAAATAATGAAATTCATTAATGGTTGTTATATAGCAAAACAAATTTTGGCTCACATAATCCTGAAATAAGTTGTTGAAGATTTGGAAGAGTGTTCTGGGAACCCACTACTTCTACTGGTTTTTTCTGTATCCGAGTGTCTGTGGTTGACCACAGCCAGAGACAGGACACTGAGTGAGATGGAGCATTAGTCTGACTCAGTACGGGCTTTCTTACATAAAGTATATTTTCTGCAAGTTGAAAGTTGCTAATTTTTCTCAAGCCTAACCAGCTGGAAGGATGAAATAAAGCATCAGCTTCCAGAAGTTCAGACTGCCCAGAAATGAGAAATACAGAGACCTAGCTCAGTATTTCTACAACTCCCAGATAAAAGAACTCTTCTGTTTGGAAAAGGAGACTTTTGCAAGTGCCTCAATATTAAACAGTAGGTGGAAGGTAAGACTGGAAACATCTACTGATGGAAATACACACATCAGTGTGCATTTACCAGTTATGGTGGCTGCCCAGACCCACTCCAAATTCCCAAAGGAAAAGGCAGGCCCAAGTCAACTCCAGAGCAAATATGAGAAATAACCATCACCCATGTTACTTCAAAGAAATGGAACTTAACATCTCAAAGTATGTGGGCCCTTCTTTCTGGTAGTACTCCACAGGTTGCATTCAGACATAGGGGACTGGGTTTTGCTGGATCTACTTCTATAAAGAGCTACCACAAAGATTCTTGGTAACAAAACATAAATTTTGCACCTTTCAAGGGACAGAGTAATTCAGTTAGGAACAAATAAACAGCTTTATTACTTTCAAAATCCAGCTCTTTATGTCATAATAGACCTAATAATCCAATGAATAAAAATCCCAGGGACTGCCTGATCCAAACTCTGAAAGACTTTTACAAGGAAAATTTGTCTGAGGAGTCTATAATAACCATTCTAGCAACTGTATTATGAATGCTTGAAAGGTTCTCAAGAAGCCATTTAGTTTACTACCAATGTTGGATCTAGCTATAATCCTAGAAATATATTCATTCAATTTGCTCTTAAAAACCTCCTATGAATGAGATCACACCATTTCTCCAGGCAATCCACCCCAATGCTTCACTACCTTTAGCCGTTCCAAGTCTTTCTTAATGTGTAGTCTAAATATTCATTGCTCTTAAGCTTCAAATGTTTCAGCTTTCAGAATAGAGAACAAAGGTGGAAATGAGATTACAAAATTGTACAGATTCCTACTTAAAAATTTCATTAACACTTGATAGTTCCTGCATTTAAAATTGACTAATATTGTCTGCAGATAACAGTATTGACTCTATTAATCACAGAAAATTTAGCTGCCTGAATTCTGGATTCTTTTAATAAAGTACAATCATCAAGAGTATTTAATTCCCATTACATTTCGATAAAATTTTTAGCCCATATCACTTATCCAAGCACCTCTATAAAAACAACGGAAAGCACCATCAGAGACATTTTTTAACAAGACTCCACAGTTTCACAGATCACAACTTTGATACCTTTCAGAGAATGTTCAGTTAAAAGACACAGTGGGAAAAAAGTTCCCTCTGTTATATCCTCAAGAATGGTGTTTACACGATTTAAACATTCCTGTTGACAACAAGGAGCTGATTTAGTCACTGATCATCTGAACAGACGAAGAACAGAATTTTTCCAAAATGACGATTATGTATACCTGAAGAAATCTGATTTTTTTTTTAGCATCATTGACATACCTTTTAGTTTAGTGTAGGAATGGAGAACAGGATCAGCAGTAACCATACATGGCCACCATGGGAAACCAGACACTTTTGACCACACTAGATCTCCTACATTATACTTCAACAGATGCACTTTTTCTTCTTTGGTGGTACTTTGAGTCGGATCTCTCTTAGCAGGAGCCTTAAATGATAAAAAAAAAATAAATAAATTCAAACTGATCATTATCTTTCTTCAGATAAGCACCAGGATTACAAATAGCACCAAAAAAGCCAAATTACAGTTAGTATTCTGTTTAAACATTCTTATTATATGTGAAAACAGAGGGGTAATGGAAGGAAGAAAATAAGAAATAGTTCATCAGAACAAAGTGCTGTCATGTTTGCTAACAAACAATAATTGCATTTCATGCGTAATAAAAAACTTTAGATCATAACTTTTGTTCTCTCACAGTGAAAAAAAAAATCATGTTCCAGTTATGGGTTTGGTTTTAATTAGAAATATTGGCAAGTAAGCTGTGGTTTGCCTTTATCTTTTCAAATAACTGCTGAGAGACCATCAGGAAGGCTTACTTTAATTTCAAACACATTAAGTGAGCACTGGATGTACGTGTGGAAGAGCCAACCTCCCTCCGTATTGAATATTACTAATCAAGTTAAGTGCTATACACACACGTGTGCTCTTAGATTTAGAAAAATAAAAAAAATTCCCAAACTAGAGTAGAGTGAAATACTCTCTTTATGTCTGAATAGAAACTACATAAATAACCAGTTTAAAACCCCCAAACTCTGTCTTTCAGTTGTTTTTTTCCATGCAGGGAACTTGTGACACAAACCCCTCCCCACACCCTTCTGCAACTTTTTTCTGTTCCCGTTCTAGCAGTAAGTTTGTGAGTGCTCAGCTGCTCCTCTAAAGCTATTTTAGCTACTGGAAAACAATTACAGAACTACATGGCTGTAAGAAAGCACATGAAGTGTCTCATTATAGATATCATATATTTTATAAAATCATGTATTTTGAATCTCCTTTTTAATTTACCAGTACTAAAGTTATGTGCAAAATGTTATACTATTTATTTTCTGTAGTACTGACTCAACATCCAGAAGTCAAACCAGGAGTTTCACGTTTTCACTGGACTTAATGTTAAGAGCTAGAGCAAAATTCTGGTTTAATTAATTTAAAGTAGCAAAAGGAAAGAGAAAACACATTTAAGAAACCAGAAATCTAGAATACAGAAACAAGAACCTGGAGCATTATGTTGAATCAGAGTAGACTTTTAAATCCAGAAAATACTACCATAACCAATTACACATTATTTGCCAAACACAAACACTAAAATCTTTGATACACTGCAACTGCATAGAGATTTATTTGCAACTGAAATATAGAGGTACATCCAATCATAAACCCTAGAGCTTGACATACTCAGAAATCCTTTCCTCAAAGCTTTTAAAGCTCAGCCTGGAAAACATACATGATGCTCTGTCATTTGATGGCTAAGGACAGTTACTCATCCAGTGATTCAGCTTTTCTGATGAATTCAGACTTGGTTCATGTGACTCCAGCTAGAGCTATGTTCCCATGTCTCGACAGTTTTGGCTCTCTAAGGATTCTATAAGACTGTGAGGAAACCCCTCCTGCAAGGTTGCCTCAAGTCCAGCACTCTCAAGAGACCTAGAAGATTCCAAGCAGATGTGAAAAATCAAATGCTCCTTCTAGCAGTTAAAACATGATGTGAAAAGTTATGCTTAGAAGCTAAAAACTAAGGAACACACATGCCAAGAGCAGATCCAGAAAAACATTAAACCTAACACACACAAACCCACTCCAGCACTTCAACTAAAGAGGTGGGATGAATTTTTTTTATCAACGAGTTAACTTTTTGGAAATGTAAAAGTTACAGAGGATTCTGAATCTCATTTTTAATTTATGACTCCCTGTATTCCTCGGAAAGTGCAACTAAGCCACAAAGATTTATGACTCTAGTCTGAGAGGGAGCTGGTTGGAATAATGAAAAGGCTCTAGCAGCGCTTCTTATTGCAGCATAATCTAAAAGGGGTGACAGCACAGAGGCCATTATCACGTTCCAATGTATCTACAAGCACTTCACAAAATTTAAATAACGCCCAGAATTCTTTTACTGTACTGAAACATGATAAAAAACTTGAAAATGACAGGCTCTCACAACACCTGCAAGGTTTATCTCTGCAATGCTTGCTGTATTTATGTTTTCTTTTATTGATAAAATGTGTGTACTTTGAAAGAATGGCAAAGCGCAGCACAGAATTCTAGATGAATGATATTTTAAGAGCTCTCATATGAGGTTACTTAAACACCTACAGAAAATATCACCATAAACTTGCTCACTTCCATCCTACTTCCCCGCATCATTCTGGTTTAGTTTGATTTTATCATTCTGGGAATTGCTCTGATGTATTTAATAGGTATCTCATCAGTAAACAGTGAGGTGAAATTCCTAGTATATACTCGAGAGACAAGCAGCTGTAGGACAGCAACAGTCTTCAATACTTCCTCTCAAACATTTTTGCAAACCACGAGCACAGCATTAAATACTTGAATATTTAAATTGTTTAAAAACATTCGGAAATCCTAGATACTGGAAGGCAGTCATATGTACAGATTTTACTTCAGTATCCAGGTTGGGTTTTTTTAACTATTGATGGGAGGGGAGGAAGAAAGCATTTCTAAACAAATTTGCCATCCAGTCCTCTGATGGCATCGATGTTCTCATAGGACAAGAGCTGGAACTTCTTTATGAGACACTTATACTCTCTGTATTTTTAAGGAATAGGAGATCACTGTCAAGTTACACAGTGGTATAGAAAAAAAATGTGGCTTGCAGTTTCTTTTTCCTCTGGAAGAAAACAGAAATTGGTGTTTAGGGAAGTTCAGATTCCTAACAATAATATGTAGTCAGACAGCACAGGGCGTCTGACTGCACCTGTGGAAGATGCAGAGGCAGCACAAGCAGCACAGTCCTGACGGGTTGTGTGAATGCACCAGAAGACAGGGAATACCTTGTCCTGCATGAGCTGATCAATTCTTTCTGTGATGATACTTAAGCAAACAAATTAAGATGAAAGACTCCTGGTTTAGAGCCCAGCTGTAAAGCAAGGGCAGATCACACAAAATCAAACTATTTTAAAATACTCTACCTTCAGGTTTTGGTTCTTTGTGTCTTTTGATGACTTTTTATTTCTTGAAATTGGTCTCATTTCTAATTAGATCTCCTACCCATAAATATCAACAGGCTTTCTGTGCTGCAGAGGAGCACAGAACAGTCTTTGGTTGCTGTTATTGCTAAGTAAGTCTGGACTGCTCTGCGTATGCCCCCATCCCATTACCTTTTATTGCAGTTTTGTCAGATTTAAAACACATTCACATTTAATTGCAGAATTTCCCGTACCTCTCCTTCCTTAAGTATAGACAAGCTCTATAGCCTGAGATAACTATCACCTCAGTCACCTTAGCCCCAAACTTTAACCAAGTTATGCTGAACAGAAGAAGGAAACAGCTTGTGATAATGTTAATTTTCTAATTTAAGGAATTCGAGGGGTTTTTTTCCCTTTCAAACACTAGACTGCAGAGAAGTTATACAAATCAAGGCCGGGGTGAGCAGGTAATGACTCCCATACAGACCAGCCCTAACACTGAATACACAGGCCATTCCACAGGCTCTGAACTACTCACTGTGGCAGACATGGAAATTCATGACTTTCTGGATTAGCATCCTAATGAAACACTTGCTCTAAAGGCAGCTAGATGGATTTTAGGTTTATTTTGTCCAGGAGGATGTGGAGTGTGAAATGATGTAATTTCTTTATAGCAACTGAGTTTTTCTGTGACAAATTATGCCTTGAAGAGTACCAGCATATTTAAAAGCTCATCTGGGCAAGCAGCTGCAACAGGCTGAGAGGGACTGAAAAATAAAAGAAAATTTAACATGCCTTTACTCTTCCCTTAACATTTCACAGATTTGTTTGTCATTTCTCTCAGCACTTTCATAACCAGTGAGTGACAGGCAGATCGACAAGAATTTACAACACTGCTGTCAGCATTCTATCAGCCCAAAGAAGTGGCTTGGCCATAGAAAACACTAGTATTTAATTAACTTTGCCTACAATTGATCAAAAGAATCCAGTCAACTTCCATTTACTTCTGATCTGCCTAACGAATATGGTGAGGCAAGAACACACCATGAGTGATATGTCACTTCAAAGCTTAAAACTATCTTAAAATGACCAAAACCAAAATGCATTTAAGGACAGCATCTTTACTGAGAGCTTTGGGTTTATTTGTAGACTCTGCTACAAAAACACTGTGATAAGCATTTAGTAAACAAGGGTCAAAGGTAATTTCTTTTTTATAAACAGCCAGAAGCCTTACTAGGTGGTGTCAGACAGATTATCCCTTTTAATCAGTGGTAAAGATAATAATATAATCACTATCCACTTTGTGTGTGTACAGAGGAAAGAGGAACCTTTCAAAATTATTGCAAATTACCTTGAGCATCAAAAAGCTACTATTTCATTACACAAACTTGAAAAGTTACAGAAATCATAAAATAAACCCCTTTATCTTTTAATTGTCATAAAGAGATTAGACAAAAAACAACGTTGAGAACTGGTGAAGAATACACCACAAGAACTTAATATTGGACAAAAAAAAGGAGAGAACCATTAACACAAGGGAAGACAGTAAATGCTCTCCTCTGTGTGACATAACTGGAAAGTACATATTGAAGAGCTTAAGCTGCAGATATCTGGTATTTCCCTTTCTGTTTTCATTTTCAATTCAGTTTCACTCTGTACCAAAGAACTTCCACTTTCACTATAACAGAAGGCCCAGGTACAAACAGAGACTGCTGGAGGTCCAGGTTTGCAGGCCAGGATAAAAACCCAAGCTACTGGCACGACAAAGAAACTAAAACAAAATAATCAAGGTCCCTACACAGAATATATGCAATTGAAATGTATTTTGAATCAAAGTTAGAACACACCAACTCAGACAGTCAAATGTGTTTCTTTCCTACGGAAAAAGATAAGATTTACTATGGAAAAGCTCAGACTGCTTGATGACCAAACCCACATGTTTTTCTGCTCCCCACTATCTGCTTGTCCTGTGCCTCAACCACTAATACTCTGATTTTTTATCACGGACTT